GCAAATTGAATTTTCCTGAGTAATATTAGTTTGAATAAACACATCTTTTGTTTGACAAAAATCTTCAGATATATTTTGAATTATTCAGGGTGCATTTATTTTTGCTTCCAGAATTATTTTGGAAGCATTAATTTTGGTTTTGTGACAAAGAATTCTCTAGCTCATACTTCAGAAAAGAAGAATTTAAACTGTACTCTGAGCAGAAATTGGTAAAACCAATATCTCCCGTTCAAATCCTTATATATACGTTGATAAATCTAGATGTCTATGAAAAAATGATGCTGAAAAAAATTTGATGGGAACATGTACATGTAAGAAATTGTATGCAAACTTGAAAATGTATCAAAAGTAAGAAATTTGAGAGAGAAATGAAGGTAAGTAAATGTATAGAAGCTATTTTTGTTTGGAAAAAAGGGGGTGAAGATGATGTATGTATAAATAATAATGAAATTAAAAAAGTTTTAAACTTAAATATTGTCTGTTCAGATAATTCTGAACGAACAAATATAAAATGAATAAAAACTATTTTTTTTTTTTTGTGATTGGTTGGAAACTGCTTAACAGCTGCAGACTTTTTTTCTGACTTGCAATAAAGAGAAAGAAACTTTAAGAATTAATTCTAATGATAATCAAAATTATTAGAGGTTGGGGAACAATCAATAGATTTCATGAGCTTCTTTAAATCTATTCCTTTAGATATTTACCAACTTATTGATTCTTTTCAAATAAACACTTCACCTTCATATTTTTCTTTTTAAAAGTTTCTAAACTGGCTGGATTTTGATGTATAAACGTTAATAAAGCATTGATCAATAATCAGTCATTTCTCTGAAATCTTTGGGCGGGGGAAAGATGTTTGGCAACATTAGTCAGCTAAGAATGAAAGCATTGGAATATATATAGATATTTGCAGTAAATGGACTGAATGAGAGAAAACTAGAAATCAAGCTATTTTGATACCAATTTATGATTAACTGTAAACATTTGCTAAAAAAAAAAAACACATGAAGATGACTTTAAATCAGGCAGCTTTTAAGAGGTCTTAACTCATCTGTTTCCACATTGAAGTCAGTACATAAAACAGAAAAATTAAACTTTTTACACATGTTATTTTGAAATGCATGAACTCAACTCTCCCTGCAAATTATTACATTGGCATTAAGCATGGCTATGTTCCTGTGATTCATCACACAATAGTAAAGACACACTTCCTTATAATAAGGAGTCAGTGATATAAAAATATGTGTGGAATCCACTGCCAATTCTACCAGATGATGGTGTGTGTATATATATATATATATATATATATATAGTATTGATGGGAGTTTGTGACACTGGGTTTTCATGCTATTTGTGATCATTAGACAAACTGATTCAGTCTGTCTGATGATCATAAATAGCGTGAAACCCAGGGCCAAAAACTCACATTAATCCAACTCAATATGTTAGCTCTATTGCGGATATTCAGTGCTTTCCAATAAGTACCACGATATATAATATATAAATAATATATATAATAAATTGCATTATATATATATATATATATATATATATATATATATATATATATATATATATATATATATATATAATAGAGTTCACAATAAGAGAGCTAAAGTGTAGATATAGAAATCAAAAATGCAATAATCAAACACATGCCGTAATGCTCATGATATATAATTTATTTTGAAATGTTAGTAAATATACGAATGGTTACTGGCCTACTTTATACAATTAGTATTCTGATGTTTTTTCATTAAAATACCAATTTTGGGAAATGTGTTGGACTAAAAATATTTCAGTCCTGTGACATTTTGTTCCTCCTGAACTTTCATTTTTACATGAAATTCCATCAGCAATATATATATATATATATATATATATATATATCCTCATGTCTGCAAACATTATGCCAGAAATTATGAATGTTGGTCTGGTTTAAAGTGCCATATCCATTCAAAGCACAACTAAGTGTTATAATGATATCTTGTGATGGCCTTACTTGATAATTAGATTATATATATATATATATATATATATATATATATATATATATATATATATATATATAAAATGATTGAATTGATATCATTTTGAGATGTTATTTTTAAATGAGTACTCATATTTGACTAGATACACTGTTTTAATTTATTGATTAAACAATATTTAAAAACAGAGCACCTACTCAAATATGAGTATCCTTTTAAGAATAACATTTAATCAAATAAATTAAAAATCTGTCATATTTAATCCATTTATATATATATATGTGTGTGAAAATATATAGAAAATAGGAAAGAACTGGTTAGGTAAATAATCCAAAGTTCTTTAGTATTTTTGTTATTATTTTTAAAAAATAGTGCTCAATACAAAAGTAGAGCATAAATATAATTATTTATTTAAAAATATAATTATTTATTTAAAAATATGTAGCATGTTGGAATCATATTTTTAAATAAATAATTATATATTTAATTGAGTGGATATGAGTTTGTGATGGTCACAAATCACTGATATTGAGTGCTTTCCAATAAGCACATATATATATATATATATATATATATATATATATATATATATATATATATATATATATATATATATATGTAGTGTATAAAATTTTCATGCTGCATAGAGATTCCGATTCTGTACAGAAGTTCTGGGCAATAACACTTTGAACCTCAACAGTATGCACTGAAAATTTAAATTTAAGTAAAAGCAATTTCATAATTTTTGCCAGGTATTATGCTCGTAGCTAGATATGCTTAATCTATCAAAAGTGTGCTTGGCCCCTGATATATGGTTAAACCTAAAGACACAACATTTTTTTTCTCTAACACATTATCACAGACTGAATGTTTAGTGATATCATCTTCAATTTCTTTTTACAATGACTTTAGCTTACAAAGGCAACAATAGATCTTTTAGAATTATTATTTAGACATGAATAACCAGAAATGCACAATTTTTCATAACTAAAGCTTTTCAGAGTTAAAGAATAAGAGATGGATATTTCATATTGTTGATTCATTTCATCTTATTCTTGTTGCTTGATTAAACTAAAATGCAACAATCTTAAGTTGCCTTGTAGAAGAAACATTGTCATTATTAATTATTTTCTTTCATTTTTATTGCTGATACTGTTTTATCGCAAAACATATCATTGAAGGTGCTCTAATATCTAAGGTCTGTTCAGTATAGTTGCAGTATAAACCACAGGTTGGCTCTGTGGGTGTTGAACAAACACAAAGCATCTGCAGTAGGGATTGGTGAGCCACCCTAGTAGATGGGTATCCTTGAATACAAGTGGCACTATTATATATATATATATATATATATATATATATATATATATATATACACACATAAAAACTCATTGTCTTTGTGTATATAACTAAAAAAAGAATTTTCAGAAGGTATAAAATGTGAACTCTTCAATAAATAAATATATATATAGATATATATATATATATATAAAGATTTTGCATTAAGGGAGCTAAAGTGTTTGTGTATATATATATATATATATATATATATATATATATATATATATATATATATATATATATGATGGGTGCCACCTCATTATCGAATAAGTCCATCAAAAGATATCATTATAACACTTAGTTGTGCTTTGAATGGATATGGTACTTTAAACCAGACAAACATTCAAATTCTGGCATAATGTTGGCAGACGTGATATATATATATATATATATATATACATATATATATACTGCCCATGCAATTTCATGTATGTAACTAAAAATGAAAGTTCATGAAGAACAAAATGTCACATTACTGGAATATTTTTAGTTCAACACATTTGCCAAAATTGTTATTTCAATGAAAATACATCAGAATACTAATTTTATAAAGTAGGCCAGTAACCATTCGTATATTTACTAACATTTCAAAATAAATTGTATATCGTGATCATTAGGGCATGTGTTTGATGAGTGCAGTGAATTTTAATAGAAAATAGTAAAGTGTCCTAAGTAGAAAGAACCTGGGTTCTTATTGGTTCTTTTTTTAAAATAACTATTTCAACAAATGATATTTATTTGGGATTAAACACTAATCTCTTACCCCAGACTGATATATACAAATATCTCAACCACTTGATTAGCCTAAGAGATATTTACCAACTATAGTTTAGTCTGGTTCCCCATCATGTATATGGAATTAGATAGGAAGTTTGTCTAGTTTTAATCCTGGCTTTTAGTTGTGCTTAATCATTGACTATTCTCATTTATGAGGAATAGAAAACTATCTCAACTATAAGGCAGGTTTATTATTACCAAGAGTAGATCATATTAAAAATGTCTCTCTCACTATATGAAGAAATAAAATATATATACTAAAACAAATTTACATTATAACCAAAAATGTTTGCGCTTTCTCTCATTGGAACAACTATAACATTTTGCTTATATATATATATATATATATATATATATATATATATATATATATATTAGTATATCTACTGAGATTTACAAAGCTGATCTTAGTATGCCCAGAAAAGGAATTTAGGAAGACTGTGTTGTACCAATCTTCCAAGATAGGAGAGTCTGATTATTTACTCTTGCTAGAAATTCTGATTAGAATGTGAAAATTCACTTCTGATTTAAATGTGAAATTTATTTCAGTTGTTTTTGTTAAGTTATTTACGAAGCTAGGAATTGATTGGAAGATCGTGTATCACCAAACCCCAATAAGGCCTTTTTTACTTTGAGGTTCTGCATTTGAAAATGGCTTCATTTTTTTTTTATTTTTTTTTATCTAGGGTCAAACACTGACCTTTAGCATCAGTTAAAAAGATACAACTCTTTCAACCACTGGTCATTTCAAAAGAAATATATGAGAGAAAAGAAAATACACTTATTCTAGTCTAGTTTGAAATTGTAATGAAGGTGAAGTTTGTAAATTTTCAAAGCATCAATAAGTAGGTATAATTTTTTTTTTTCAATTTACAGCAATAAGTGCTCATTTTTTTTTTAAATGGTCAAAGGTAGAAAAAGAGAAAGAGAAGAGGGATGAGGAGAAAGATATGGAGGGCAGAGAGACTTATAAATTTCAGCCCACTTGCCATGCACAACAGATTGGACACGTCCATATGTAGCCAATGCAACTGCATCACTGCTATCAGTAGTTACATGCACAATGGAACCTGTGGTATTCACGTCCGTCTGCAGAGAGGTGATCTCTCCTGTTGGTTGGCTGCCCTTCAGGAGACGTCCCATTTCGTCGTACTTGTAAAAGTAGGTCTTTCCGTCAGATACGTGCTTCGAGATGAGCAACCCTGAGCTGGGGTGGTACTTAAAAGTTGAGGTTTTGTTGTCCGGAGCAATGAAGCGATGCAGTTTGTTGATATTGTCGGTGGTGATTTTGCAGTTGGAGCCATCTGGTGCGTTAATAAGCTGAGCTTGTAAATCAAAGGTACGCTTTATTTCAATTCTGTTTCCTGTTGCATCAGACACCTCGGTAAGCTTTCCATAAAAGGAATTAACACTGTACGTATAATTGTACATGAACAGATTGGTCATTATGTTAATCGTGTACTGATGCTGTCCGTTTTTGTTAAAAATGTACAGTTCTTGGGTCTCAGGTGACATGACCTCGTACTGTCCGAGGAGATTAGGCTGTGGCAACTCAGACACAATTGAGTAAAGACGTAAGTTCCCCATGTCGGCGATATGTATCACTCCATCTGGCGTCACAGTGATTGAAGTCGGGGTGTTGAGAAGTGCTTGAGCTGCAAGGGTCTCCTTGGAGTCATAACACCTACAGTTCGGCTTCTCACAGTCGCATTTTGACTTGGCACCAGCAAAGTGATGGATACGACCATCTGTAGTGACAACCCGGACACGGTTTATTTGGTGACTATCACTCTCTACAATATAGAGGTTTCCATGGGGACCAAAAGTCATACTTCCAGGTGAGGTTAGAATCACATGGTTAGCGATGCTTGAAGCTTGTTCGTCATCCGAGAGGATTCCGCTGGGCAGAAAACTAGTCTGTTTCAACGGACAATGTGGTGGAATTCCAGCGACAATGATCAGTTTTTTATCCTGGGTGAGCTTAAGGACAACATTGTTGTCCAGAATATGAAGGGTGTCATCGAGAGGATCGATGGCCAGAGCTGTGGGCCACCGTAAACTCACCTGGAAGAAGAAAAATATAACATTGTATTTTAACATAATAAAAAGACGCAAAATGGGAAGTCAAATTTAAAAATACAGGCAATAAAAGAAAAATGGGAGAATAATGGTATTTCCTGAGATTTGCAGTTCCAAATTAAGAACCAAGGTTATTTCTGGAGGCTACAACAACAATAAAAATCTTGCTAAGTAGGAAAAGGTAAGAAGAGAAATCCTTGGTATGCACAAAGAATTCCTTCATTACTTCTGCTGATGAGATGGAAAAACACCTTCAAGCAAGCTGTGCTGTACCACTAAGCTAAGATAAGTCATCACAGCAAAGCAAGGCTCAATTACTCTATTTATTATTAATATACAAATTAAATTTGGTGACATAATTGTGAGTTCAATCCCTGGGCTGGACTCAGCGAAAACAGGGAGATCATTAAGAACAAGACAAGATATTCCTAAACATGGACAGTGGAACAAGAAAATTTTACCCCCCATAGAATAAATAAAAGTTTTATTTCGGAATCCACTGTAGGTTATCTGAATGGATGATGGTCGGATGGCACAACAGCCAAAATGTTGTGATAACAACAACAAAGATGAGGACAATAGTCCAAATGTAAATAGCGTAAATAATATATATGTGTGTGTGTGTGTGTGTGTGTGTGTATTCCAAATGTACATGTACAAAAGTGCATAAGCAATTAGTAAATCAAATTAGTGATTTATTTTTCATTCTAGCCATTGTCAAGATAAATGAGCTTTAGTTAAACGAGTTTGGCTTACCTTGTCTGCAGAGACAATTTCTTCACACGGTAATGGGGTCCATTTGCCAACAAGTTCTTGTGAGCCAATTAAAGTGCTGATTTGTCCATCAGTGCTGACCCTTCGTATGTTCGGGCCATCAGCAAAATAAATCACGCCATCTTTGTTAATTGCAATCCCTGGTGAAAAAAAATAGAAAAGAGAAACGTTAGTTGCCAAATTTTTCTTTGAGTTTTTCTGTTAAATATTTATGGAAACATTTACCTTTTGAGGATTTTTTTTCAATTCTGAGTATGGAAGATAAAAAGCAAAGAAACAGCCCAAGCAAGGTAGTAAAGCCACTAAGACACAAGGGGGTTAATGAGTGTGGAAAAATTAGAAACAGAAACATTGCTATGGAGCAAGAACTAAAGAAGAGTAATCAGGAGGACAATAGATAACGATTAACATTGCATTTAAATTTTTGAAGATTAAAGTTGTCTGGAAAGCATGAAGCCAGAAGAGACTTTCACAAGCAAGAAGTGCAAGAAAAGAAATTCTTAGCATAGAATATAGGGTTACATCTAGCCAACTCAACTGTATGTTGTTGAGATCTTGTTGCCAGTGTAGTTCTGCACTTAAATTCAAAAAGTCTAGGTACCATAGTGAAGAGCTCATTTGAACAATTACCATGAAAGTATTTATAGAAATGGCACAATATGGCAACCTTACAGTGGTAAGAAAGAGACTGAAGCCAGGCCACCAGATCAGGTTCAATAATATTGCTGATTCTTTGGGTTTTATCAAGGAGCTCTAGATAAATAGTAGAAGTACCAGAACATGTGTGGTAGCAATATGCTGAGCATAGGTGAATTGCAGACTTAAGATATTTAGGATAGATTCTAGAGAAAAAATTATCTAGCACAGTGAACTAGTTTTCTTAGCAGCTGACCTAGCAATGGATTCAGTACAGTATTTCCACTTCATGTCACCCAAGAATATTAGCCCTAGAAGGCATAATGAGTCACTCTCCTGGAGGTCAGCATCAGTCATGCTGATGGGAGGCAGAGAGGGGTCTCTGTGATGATTAATAGGAAGCAGTTTAGTTTTGGAGGTGTTAAAATTAACATGCCCTCTTTTGACCCAATTAACAACAGAATGAAGGTCGTTTTGGATATCAGCTGCCATTTTGACCTTAGAAAAATCTTCAAAGACTAATCAGCAATCTAAATGATTGATTGATTGTTTTTTCTCAGCTTATGAAACCTTTGAAAGGCTATTTAACGCCACAAAATCTTTTTAGATTTTAACAATTTTATTTTGAGATAATAATGATTTAGTCATACAATTCATACTAATTAATCCATAGGTAAGGGGAGAAGAAGTGGATTCATACCTTTCCCAAGGGCACATGTGAATATAGCCCAACAGCATTTGGAACTTGTCTCTCCAATTAACAATTCTAAGTTATCTGTTATCTGCACATCTAAGCTTACAACACCTGGTTTTCCCAAGCAGTCACCCATCTAGTTGCTAACCAGGATTGATGTTGCTTAACTTTGGTGGTCGTCTAAGAATTGGTGTTTCAATGTAAGCGTGAGGGACAGAGGAAAATAATGCATAACCTACCTAGCAAGCTTGTGTAAATGGTTGGAAGAATAGAAATTAGGAGAGATAGCAAAAAGACAAAATTTACTAAGATCGACAAAAGACAGGAAATTGTGGAGAGCCATGACTATCAACTTTCCAAAAGAACACATCACATATAAGAGGAGGAGAAAAAGTTAAGTATGCATTGTCATTTGACAGACTTGATTCTTTTGTGGATTAATTTATTCGTATTCTTCACTATTAATATAAATCAAATATTTCACTTCTGTTTTGTTCCTTTATTGTATGCTAAAAAGACACTGAAGTCTGCTGTTGCATTCAATATCAAATTATTGCAAGTAAATATTTTATTAAAAAACTTTTGGAGATAATAATGTTTTGAACTCAGTTCTCTGATGACTTCTAATTCAAGCTGTTATTCATTTCATCCAAGTGTACCGCACTTGGCATTCCCAAGCAATCACTTATCTAAGTACTGACCAGACTTCAGTGATTGTTGGAGACCAATGTTTTAATGTTATGTGGCCATAATCAATCAAAAATTCCAAGTATTTGCAAACTTATTATAACTTCTTACTGTTAATAGTACAAACATGAGTTTTCTTTCTTCAGACATATAGTATAGGTGGCCACTTGTATTCGATGCTCAGGTACGTTTGTGTTTATTCAACACCCACAGAGCCAACCTGTGGTTTATACTACAACTATGCTGAGCAGACCTTAGTTACAGTTTCTGGAAGAGAGCATATTATTTATTGTGATCAACAATTTGAACAAGGCCAGCACACTCAAGCCCTCAGCCATGATGATGTGACTGTGCTAGCACAGCTATTGGATCTGTCTAGCCAATTTCACTCACAAGGCTTGGGATGACCCATGCTATGGTTTTCAGGCATTTTCCAAAGGTGCTGCATTCTGGGATTGACCGCTCCAGTCTGATAATGTCAGGGAGTCTCCTTCTTGACAAATTGACTATGGTGAGATTTGAACCCAGGTCTCATTGTCAGAATGCAAAAGTTCTAACATGAGTTTTTTTTCTTCACACATTATCATTATATTAACAAACAGAAGTAATAGTATTTAAAAATGTATCAATGTCTATCCTCTGTCTTCCTGTTTGGTTATGATCTCTCTGTTTATATAGTTTATAAAATTACTATTCAATATTACTTAATGCAACTTACAGCTCCTGTGGTTCTGTTATTAATTCTTGGTAGTCTTTTCAATATGTAATTCACAAGAACTCGGTTGATAAACTATTGATATTTGTAATCAATAGTTTTATAGATTTCCACCACCTTCCCCCTCTCAGTCTTTCATGTCTTTTAACAATCCATGGCTAATTAGAAAGTATATCACAGGCGAAAATTAAAACATTATTGCATCATGAAAACCAAACTTTATTTACTTTCACTGGTAAATGATGAGTGACACAAGCTAACCAGTAATTCTACTTTTGTTTTTTAGTTTTTGCAATGAGAAGGAAAAAGTACAATTAAGTAAAGTGCATAGAAATATATCCAAAGAGGAAGTAGTTAAATGATAGATGCACTTGAAATGTAATACATCAAAGATTCTGTGAATATGCAGGTGGATTCTATCTTTTCCTTTCTTATTAAACAGATATCAATAAATTAATACAAAATGTTTAAATAAGCACACACTATTATATATATATATATATATATATATATATATATATATATATATATATATATAGAGAGAGAGAGAGAGACATTTAAAAAAAATCAACTTTTGACAAAAAGAAATTTGACAAAAAATGTCTTAAATTTAAAAAAAAAAAAAGTGTTCAATACAATTTTCAAAAAAGCAAAAATGTGGAGCAATTTAAGACAAAAAATAATTGGAACTGCAACCTTTCTGCTACTATGATTTCTATCAATCAGTATATATATATATATATATATATATATATATATATATATGATTTATAGTTTTAAGGTATGCCATATTTATGTGTTAAAGTGCTGAATGTTTCATGCTTACATCCAATTTTTAAGCCATGATGGCCCAACAATTGCATACATACATATATATATATATATATATATATATATATATATATATATATATATATATATATAAACATATATATATATTCTATTTAGATACAGATATTTAAGTAAATGCTCTGTTTATAATAAACTGTAACAACATTTACTGGCCTGAATGTCTGAGAAATTTCATAGAAAATTCTCTGACAAGAATCTAACCTGTATCCTAAACGGAACCACCATATAGCCTGATGTGTTATACTATTTAGCTACAGAGGAAGCATCTGTTTAACAAGGTTGAATGACTGTTTTTAAACAACAAATTTCCCATGGATTCTCTCAACTGCTTATATCTGCTCTATGCATATCTTAACACAAATAAATGACATCATATATTTATAATGGTAAAAGAATAGATGAAAGCACTCAAATATATATTTCGACACTATATTCAGAAAAGAATATACTTGTACAAATGCAAGAAAAATTGAATAAAAAGCTTAGTGACAGGTGTCTTTAATGAAACATTACTATTTTATCAAAGTGCCATTTGTTTAATTTTGTACTTCATGGTTGATTTTACATGTTCATCAGAGGTAACATGTCGCAAAAGACCCGTGTGCAATCAAATATATTGATCTTTGTAAGATCAATACACAATATGCACATAAAATGACCCAGATCAGGTTGAAAATGGAGTACTGTTCGTCAGTCCTCACTTTACTGTCTTGATAGAGTTCAAAAGCATCTCTGAGTCTTTGTTGGAGGAAGAATTATTTTCTAGCGTCCAATCTCTATCTCACAGGTGGGATGTGGTGAGTCTCTCATTTCTCTGTCACTACTTCTATAGAAAGTGCTTGGATGAACTACATTCCGTGGTTCCACCAGGTCTATCCTTCACGACTAGGATCCAGCATACCACTTACAAAGTAGCAAATCACACACATTCCTTCCATATTCCATCGATGAGAAGTAAGAGGATGTTTCCCCAATCAATACAATCTTAATCTGTTAAGTGTTGTCTACCCCTCCTATACCTATAAACTACCCCTTAATGTAACACTCTACCATGAGTGGCACCCGGGCCTTGTACAGGGTGAACCTTATTTAAAAAAAAAAAAAAAATTTAAAACATACAGTTGAATGATTTTCATTTTACTTACCCTTGGGATGACTTAGACGGGCTTTTACTGCCAGATTTCCATCACCACAAAGTCCTGATTCTCCTGGGGTACATTCTTCACCATTGCCGGCAATGACTTCAAAATTTTCTTCAAGTTTACGCACAGGCCCCATTGTTTTCACACGCAAAATCTTATGGCTCATAAAGTCTGATATATAGAGGCGACCATCCACAGGGCTTACTGTCATATAATATTTGTAAGAAATTGATGCAGTGCTATAGGAAGAAGAAAAATATTTGAAGTTTAGTTCACATAAAAATAAAATGGAGGATGATAAAAGAAACTTCTACAGAATAGTATTTATTGGTCAAGTACATACAGCTACTTGTTGGATGAGAGTTCAATTCTTGATCAGGTCATATATTTTGGTTTGCTGGTTAAAGCCAAAAGCCATATTATAAGAATGAATTAGCTAAGAACAAACTGACATTAAATATCCCCAAACATAATGATGAATATATCAACAAGAGTGCTGGGACGAAAAAGCTACTAAAATGAGGTGGAATAAAACTAAAGTGTGTGTTAAACCAGAGTGTTTTGATAAAAAGCAACAATAATAAAACTGGGTAAAACTAGCAAAAAAGCATATCAAAAAGTGTATTAACCCAGACTATTGGGGATAAAAAGACAGAAGATGGAATAAAGCAAGTAATAAAATAGCAGATATAAGGAAGAATGTGTTGAGCCAGAGTGTTGAGATAAAAAGCAACAATGATAAGATGGAATAAAACCAGTAATAAAATAATAGTAATAATGAAGAGTGTTGGGATAAAAAGCTAAAAGACAGTAAATGTAATAATAAAATAACTATACTAATGAAGAATATATCAAACAAAAATGTTACAAGACAACAATAATAAATGGAGTAAAACTTGTAATAAAATAATAGTAAAAACAATAAAGAATGTATTGACCCATAATAATTTTGATTTATTCATTTTCTATAGCTTATCAACCATTTCCAGGTTATTTAAAAAAACAAAAAAGAATTGCTGAATCTGTTGGTTATCAAGCTGTACTTTTAATGTCTCTCTGATGATTTGTAGTGATCCATATTTATATGAATAACTTTCACAGATTGTACTAATTGACTAACCTAATAACAACAGAAATAATAGCATTATTATTAGTAGTAGTAATTATAAATTCTTTTGAAATGGGGTAGAAACAAATATGTAGTCATTTCCCATCTCACCATAGGTCTAAACACGTTAACTACAGCAAAACACAATTAAACATTAAGGATCAACATTCTGAAATATTGTTCTAAATATGCTTTATTTAATTGATTTGTTTTTTTTATGGGTTATCAACCCTTTTGCAGGTTATTTAAAGCCAGAAAATATTTTTAGATTTTAAGAAGTGTTTTTTTTCTTTTTAATTTTTTTTTATTTAGATAATAATGTTTTAGTGATCAAGTCTTATTAATTAATAGCTCGATAGAAAAGAGGTGGATTTATATTTATATTTGTGTGTAAGTGAATATAACAAACCCAACTAGAATTAGAACTCAGCTCTCCAATTAAAAATTTCGAGCCATTATCAATTACAGCAGCTATACATTCAAGTTTATAGCACCTGACATTCTCAAGCACTCATCCATCTACTTAATGACCAGACTGTTTAATTTAGATGATTATGCAGGAATTGGTGTTACAATGTGATATGTTTATAAGCCATATTGATCCATAGTATTGGGAGTAAAAGAATGTATTTTCAACAAGAAAAGTTTCTGTCTTTAAAAATTGTACTGTCTGTATTTAAACTCTAAAATATGACAAGGACAAAATCCAAATTATAAAAAAATTAAATAATAATTGAATATCTAAGAAATATTTTCAAAAGAAATAAGAAAGAAAGAATCTGCAATTTAAGAAAAATTATATTTCTTACCTCATCTGTAAAATGCTGGCTACTTCCTCTCTGCTTGGCGATAATTTTCGAATCAGGTTGTAATCACCGACATAAAGACTGCCATCAAGTCCACTGGCCAGAGCAACAGGTGCCAGCAACTCTTTATCCAGGGCTTTGCCATCATAATCATCCCCTAGAAGTTTCCGCCGAGACCCATTGCCAAGAATGTTGACCAATTTCTTGGGCTTCTCTTTCAGATAAATGTTGGTGCCATCACCTTTGTGCAGTATTCCTGAAATAAGAGACAAAAGCTTATTCCTTGATCCAAGAACTGACAGAAGTACCAATGATTAAGATTTTACCATTTCATGAATGAATTTAAGTAAAAAAGAAATTATGAATTTTTTTCATAAGTAAATTTACCAAATTTTTGGGATAAAAGAAAAGAATTTACATATATGTCAAACTTTAATTTAGTAGCAACTAATTATAGACTGATAACCTGATTAGCTGTGATGAAAATCAATTAAAATTAAGATGAAACAAATACTAATGGTTGACAATGCTTCATCTAATAAAAAAAATTCAGGATAATATTACAATTATATTTAAAGCTCTTTTTTTTCAAAATAATATATTATTTTAATAGTCACAAATATAAACAAAAAGAAATAATTTTTAAAATGATTGACAGCAAAATTCTTTTACTGACCTTCCTGGAAATTGTAAGTGTGATGGATGTCCAAATTCCAACCACCAATCTCAGAGGAGGTTAAATCGTAACCACTCATTGTGGTACTCCGAGCCTCCCAGAAGATATAATGGCAATTCTGATACTGATAACCAACAAAAACTGAAAAATAAAAATTGAAAACACAAAAAGATTTTACTAAGTAAACAAACCTTTTCTTCTTATTGTTTTTTTTTATGTTCTGCTGTGGAAATCACTATGGCTCCAATGTCCAACTACTAAGAAGTACCAATGGAGACAACAAAGATGATGATAAATATTTTGTTGAATCACTTCACTTCTGAATTTTTGAGAGCACTAGGCAAACCAGAGAGCCTATTAGGAAAAATCTAGGGATCAAAATAATTAAGATGATGCTAGTCTGAACATTTTGATGAACCATGTTGACAATCTACATGAAACCTTAGACTTTCAGAGAAATGTCAAAGAGTGAATTTATTGAAATGTAATAAAAAAACAACAATGATAAAAATCTGCCTTAATATTTTGCTGAATAATGACAGCACTTATAATGGAAAATTGGTAACCAAAGTCATGAAATCACAATAAAACTAGTAACTCCAGTGACTATTAAAGTAACAATATTGGATTGATACAAAATGAGTAGTAATTGAAAAACACCAAGGTATATGAATAAAAACTTAACCCACTTCAGGAGTTAAAAATTTTAATCTTCAACTGAAAGACTTGAAATTTTAGATAAACACAAATTGGAGATAACTGATGTATGGTAATCAATGGGTTGGCATAAGCAAATCTGTTCCAGACAAACAAGCAAGATAATTTTATTTTTAAACAATAAAGTAGCAGTTATTTAATGAAAAGAATTTGAGATGGCCTGTATTTTATTTAAGAGATTTTATTTTGATAGAATTTTCTTTTTAGCAGGAGGGTGGGGGTAGAATTTTGTCCATATATATACGATAAAAGCAAAGAAACGTTGAAATGTCTCACAAAAATAGGAAATCCGCAATGGGGCACACTTTTACAAATAGAATAAACTTTTTATCAAATAAATGTAAATTACTATCAACAAATTGGTATCAGTATTATAATTGGTATCTAACAGTACATTAGTAAAGATTTATATGCACATAAATCTTTAAGAAACATTAAAATAATGAATAGATATAAAAAGACCAAATGCTTACATACACACACACTACACACAGAGTAATTGAAAACATGTCCTTACTCGATAATCATGCAAATAAATATATATGTATAAATATACACACATTGGTGTATACATTTACACACACACACACATATATATATATATATATATATATATATATATATATATATATATATATATATATATATATATACACACACACTACACACATATATTGAAAAATAAATGGAATATAAACTGAAATAAGCAAATTTATTCTGCCACTGTAAGATTGTAATGCAGGAAATCTAATTTTTCATAGACAAAAACAAAATCAATCAAAAAAAATATCTTTCCAAAATTACATTTCTCGAGGAAAACAAACAATAAAAAAATGTAGAAAAAAAAGACAGAGAAATTTTCAACAAACTTGGATAGAATATTACCTCGGGCAGTGACAATTCCATAGACTTTCTGGCGGTAAACGTTCCTTCTGTTCCAAGAGAAGGTGTACTTAAGATTTGGATCTGCCTCAAAGATCTTTTCCATGACGATGCCTTCGACGGAGACTTTCAGATGCACAACAGCCAAGGAATCGGGGATTGTACTTGGTGTCATCTGAATCATAATTACAGACATATACCCAGCAGATTCACTACTGTGATAGACCAAATGCACATTGGTATTTGGAATAGATAAGCTCTCTTGAAGAACCTGCCAAAAACAAGAAATTCATTTTCAAATCAATAATTAAGAATTTATTTTTATGACAAAAGCATTAATGGAGACTAATAAAAATAATCAGAAATTTATTTATTTTTTTTATTTAACCCTATGTAAGGCAGTAAAGCCACTAAGACATAGGGGTTACTGAACGTGAAAGAAAAAAGAGAAACCTTATTAAGCAGTGAGAACAATAAAAGAGGAAGAATCAAGAAAACAGAAGATAAGGCTTAACATTGCTGTTTTTGAAGGTTAAGGTTGGCTGCAGTAGCATGCAGAAGTGGGAGCAGAGGGTGAAATGGCCTCAGACATCCATATTGTGATATCTATATTCAAAGAGTGAAATAAAAATTTAGTTTATATTTAATTTGAATAAAGTCTTTATTTCATGTTTCATCTTTTTTTACATATTTAAAATGTCTTACTTTCTCACATTTCTCAGTACTAGGCCCTATAAGCCCCCTCCCTACTTGAGTCATGGGAGGGCATACAATTACTAGGCCCTATAAGCCCTCCCTACTTGAGTCATGGAAGGAGGGGATACAATTACTAGACCCTATAAGCCCCCCCCCACACTTGAGTGGGGGGGGGGCATACAATTAAAAAGTTGTCCCCAGGCATCACTAAACTTCTGCACATAAATTTTGGCTGAAAAGCATGGAAATGGAAGAGTGTTCCACCAATGAGACATGTGAGAAAAGAAATTGTTGGCATAGAACTTATGGTTACATCTCGTCCTTTTCAACTGTAAAACAATGAGACCTTGCCACCAATCAACACTTCAATTCATAAAGTCTGGGTACCATAGCGAAAATTTCATACAAACAATTACCATGTGAATATTTATAGAAAAGATACAGGGAAGCTACATTATGGTGAAAGAGACTCAAGCTGAGATGCCAGGTCAGGACTAATAATCTTGCTGAATATTCTTTGGATTTTATCAAGAATCTCTAAATATATTGTAGGAGCACCAGACCATATATGACAGCAATATTCAAGGATGAATGGAAGACTTATAAAAATGTAAGATAGATTCTAGAGAGTAAAACTGTCTAGCACAACACAGTGAACTGAATTTCTTAGCTGCAAGTCGAGCAGTTGGTACAATATAATACTTCCATTTCATGTCACCTGAGAATGTTAGCCTGAGAAGGCACAAGAAGTCACTCTCCTGGAGGTTAGCATGCTGATGGGAGGCAGAAAGTGATGTTTCAGATGTTTAATAGAGAGAAATTTAGTCTTGGAAGCATTAAAATTAATAAGCCATTTCTTAGCCCAGTTGATAGAATTCTTTTCAGAAACTGAATGAGTATTAGAAAATGTCTTTAAAAAAAATGTAATGTCTAAGCAGCAAAAGAGGGACATATTTTTCACAGATAACGAAGAGAAGTGAAATGGAATTGATGTGGTTTTTCTGACATATGTAGAGAATAGTATGGACAGATTATGAAAAAAACAAAGAATTTTTAAAAAGAATGGGAACTACAAAGAAACTGCTGCTAATGAGCAGAAAGTGACAGCTGAAATTTGAGAGGTACATATAAGAAAAGTAGGCTTGGAGAATTGCAGGACACAATGAAAGCCAAAGAAGGAGGGGAAAGCAACACGGAAATGGGAGAATAATATCCTGAAGAGATATGGCAGAAAAATGAATATTTACCTGAGATTCAGGAATAATGGTTGTTTTCTCAGGGCAGGCTCCAAGTTGTGTATGCTGCCATGTTGACAGGACTACAGGTCGCAGCAGATAATACTGATGTTCTACGTTGCATAGAATAGGATTGGGGGCTATCCAGTCATCATCTTCAAGAGTCATAGTCACAACATCCATGGTGATGATTTGATTCCAAGGGACAAGAACACTAGCACTTTGGGCAGGGAATGGGTCTCGGTGAAATTGCAAGGTGACTGATCCACCTCCATTCACCAAAATATCAAACCTACAAAGTAAACAAGACTTTCAACATAAACATGAGATGAAAATTTATAAAGTGAGAGTAAAAATCAATGCTAGAAAGATATGTGAAAATTTCATGGTGGCTTATATTATAATTAACTACAAGGAGTTAAGAAACTCCACAACCATTTTCTCAGCAGAGTTATATTACCCAAAAGAATATGAATACAAGAGTGATAGTTACTCCTGAAATGTACAGAATCAGGATTTGTGCAATATGGCCTAAAGAATTGGTCTTGATTGTGAGTCTTGCTGGTTTCTAAATGAGTGGATGTTGAAAGTTTTCAAATTTACAAAGTATGAGACAACGTGTATTGGCTGCTAGTTTTTATTTAATAGTATATCAACCTCTATAGGTTATTTAATTCTGAAATCTAAATATTTTGCACATGATTTCTTTTTTTTTTTTTTAATAATAATGGTTTTTAGACATACAAGTCTTACTAATTAACCCATAGCTGGGAGGAGAAAAGGTAGATACATACTTTTCCCAGGGGTATTTTCACAAAAGTGAATATAATGAACCCAGCTAGATTTGGTACATGGCTCTCAAATTAACAATTCCAAGCCATTATCGATTACACCAGCTGCACACCCAACCTTATAGCACCTGGTATTCCCAATAATATTCAAATATGTGTGGCAAACATTCTAAAGTGTGTAAAAGTTAGAAAGATATTTGAATATTATCTGTTACTTCATTACACGTGACACATAACCAATAAGAAATAGCCAAGCACAACATACCATTAATCTGTGTCTCTGCTTTTTATCATTCTTTTATCATTTTTATCTTGATCTCTGACAAAGCTTTAATAAAGTAAACCATGTTAGATTAAGAGGTTTCCTACTTATTCTTTATCCTATCATATAATTATTTATTTAAAAAAATTATAACATAAATATGTTATAAAATCACTACAAAAATAGCCATTTTGTTTCAACACCTCCAGTGTCTCATCAAGTGATGATGTTGAATGTAAAATATTTATGTTATAATTTTTTTAAATAAATAATTATATCTGCTCTACTCTGTATTGAACACTCTTTTAAGAATAGTAATTGTTGGTTATCGGAATTCATTCCGTATACACCAATTATATACTTGTGTATATATGAAAAAGTGACATAAGGTATGAAACTGACAGTCAAAATGCAGTGTTAATGCCTTTATCTATATATATGTGTAGAAATACTCTATCTCTAATCAGTCTGACACCCAGTCAATCAAATGCTACACATTTGGGTGAACATGTCTCTTTCAATACACGACTGACTAAACAGAGAATTTTCCTGCAGTAAGTTGCCATTTCTTTCTGTGGTGGACTGATTGCTAATCAGGGTTTAGTACCCAGTCTTTCCTGCTATTCAACCCATAGCTGGGAGGAGAATATATGGATTCATACCTTTCCCCAAGAGTATTTGCATGTAAGTGAATGTAATGAACTTGACTGGAACTTGAACATCTCACCGATTTCTCATTCTGAGCCAATATCCACTACACCATCTGCACATCCCTAATATTGGACACAATTCTCCCATCAAAATAGCAAATTTTAAACAGAATATAATTGTAGAGAAAACCTGTAGGATTTACATCTTTTATTGAATGTTGGTAAATGTTTTGCGTTTTCTATTTGATTTAATTTATAATTTCAAATGCCACAGTATGAAACAGATTTGTATCAGACAATATTTCAAAATTCTGAGAAAGAGAAGACAATTCAGAAATACAAAATTTTTTTGAGAAGAGAAAAATAATGGATACACCATACAAATTGGCTATTAACGAAAGATTTTGGATTGCTAAAAGTAGAACTTTATTTGAATAAACAAGTTAACAGTCTTGAGGGGATAAAAATAATTTAGTCAGATTATAACAACCATATGTTGCGCTAACCCTACTTGTTTTATTCCCTCGTCTCCTTCACTCTTGAAGCTGATATTACATTAAAAGACTTTTCACATTAAATGTCTTTCACCACAGGAGACAGTATTTTAAAGCATGTGTAAAATATTTGATAAATTATTTATCTTTTGGTGTTTTCGAGCTCTGTGAAACTCTTCTGCACATGACATTATTTATATTCCAAAAAATGCAAGTTATCAATTTTTTGTGGGGGAATAATGATAATATTTATTTCCTAATAATAACCAAGATGGTCAGATTAAAAAAAAAAAAAAATTTGGACAGCTTATCCATAATTTTGATCTAAATGTGCAACAACATATTTGAAAACTGTAAAAATACAAAATCAGATTAAACAAACAAATCAACCTTGTTGCTTGAATTTTATTAATTTTTATTATTGAATTTATGCTCTGTTGATCTGCATTTTCCTTATTTGAAACTGCATTATGCACTTTTAATTTGTATAACTGTTTTTTGGCCAATAACTAATTTGTCAGTTTGTTTTTTAATTGAATTGTTATATATATTTCCCAAGGGTATTTGCACATAAGGAATATATAAACCTGACTGAAATTGGAACTTGTCTCTCTGATTTCTAATTTGGAACCATTATTCATTATGCCATCCACACATCAAAGCTTACAGCACCTGGTATTTAATAGCAGTCACCCATCTAGGTACCAACCAGAATCAACATTGCTTAACTTTGTTGATTGTATGAGAACTGGTGTTTCAACATAAGCTTACATATGAGGAAGGATGGCTTGGAGAACTTACTACTCAGAAGGAAAGAGGGGTGTAAGAAAAAAAAGGAAGCGACCCACTCTAATGCATTTGTATGAATGGGGAGTAGTTCAGGGAGCAGAGGGGATGTAAAACAGTCAAATGTTGCTTAGAGTTACAAGGGACTGGAATTTGTGGAGAGCCGTGACCATCCACGTCTTGATGGACAATAATGATGCTTGTGGTATGCCAGTTACAAGATGATTCAAAATATGACAGGGAGTGTGGTGTTCATGCATTTTTAAAAAGTTTTCATGAAAAATGTGATGGAGAGTCAGCCAGAGTTTGAACTTGAATTGTTGATTTTGTTGATAACCATTAAGTCACCTTACATTTTCACTAGATATGCAGGGTAAAAATAAAAAAAAAAAAAACAAAGATGCGAAAAGGAAAAAACAAAAGTAATAAAGCAATGAATATATCCATCATTCATCTTTGTTACCAAATTTAATGCATATTTTTTCACCCTTCCCTAATTTCAACCATGAGGCTCACCGACACATTAATTTGATTATCTATTTATAGGAAATACCAAATGAAACAGGTCAGGAATCGGTCAGCTAATTCAGGCTTATTGATTGAAACTTGGAAATGTATTTTATTATGCATACGATTTGCAAAAAAAAAAAAAATAAATAAAAATGTAAAAATTATTCTAAAATAGAATCTTCTATCTTTATTAACTCATTGCACACATAAAATTCTATTCTCTTGATTGAGGAGATGTTTTTGTTCTTTTTGCAATTTAGCTGGTTTAATTAAACTACAAATTAATTACATAGATAATAATCTCATAGGGCAGGAGATGATAGAGGTTGTCCTTCCGAAAATTTGTTGAAGCCAAGACTTGCAAATTTGGTGTGAATTTTCTTCATTTGTTAATTTAAATTCAAATGAGGAATAGAAAAGAAATTCCAAATTAAGAAACATCAAAATTTCTATTTTGTAATGAGGAAACCTCAGATCTCTCAAACTTGAGAGAAATATGGGAACCTCTCATGACCTGCTAACGACAGTTCATTATGAGAAACATAGGCAAAAACAAAGGAACATGCTTATCGGTATATTTAAATATTTGATTCTGAAATTAAATTTGTGAACGAATTTGTTAATTTTCATCTAAAATTTTGAGATGAGGAATTCTCATTAATTTACTCAGTGTCCTCCTCTAGGTACAAATGTTCTCTCTCTGTTACTATCTGACCTTCAACACTTCCAAAACATGTGTAGCTGGTTCTGCCCAAGCCTTCACCACAAGAATCAAATCATTTGAGTAAAGAGATTAAGGATTCAGTTCCACCTCTTGGGCCCTCATATGTCAAAATAAGAGAACTGCCCTGCCCACAACTATCAAACCCAGCTCAAACTCTGACCTCGAATGTAAAATGTGATTTTGTAGGCCTGTTGTTTGGATTAGGTAAGATTAGGCTGGTTGTTTTTAATATGCCAACCCTCAATTGATTGATTCATTCTTTACGGCTTGTCAACCTTTTGAAGGTTATTTAAAGCCAGAAAATATTTTAGATTGTAAAATATTTCTTATTGTTTTAGATAATAATGTTTTTGTGATACTAGTCTTACAAACTAATCCATAGCTGGGGGGAGAATAATTGGATTCATACCTTTCCCAAAAGATATTTGCATATAAGTGAATATAGCAAACACAATGGGAATTGAAACTTGGCTCTATGATTAACAATTCCATGGCGTCATCCATTACACCACCCACACATCTAAGCTTACAGCACCTGGCATTTCCAAATGTTCAGCCATCTAGGTACTGACTGGGCTGGACATTGGTTAACTTTGGCAATCATACGGGAACCAATGTTTCAATATGATATGGGCATAGGCCATGTTGATACTTCATGGCTTATATAATGATGAATTGTGTATGGAAACCCCCAGTAAGGATTAAACACACAAGTTGTAACAGTTAACAAGATTAACCTTGTTAACCATTACTGTTGCTGAGGTACCCCACATTTGTGGGGAGTGCACATGATAACAGTGTTAAATAACATTAGCCAAAATAATTTAAAAAAAATGCTCAACAGAGAAATATTTCATACAAAAATGAAATTCAAAGAGTGGAGAGAAAAAAAAAAAGAAAAAATTCTTAGAAACAAAGCGTTTTGCTTTTATATCTGGCAGTCCAACACACCAAGCTTGTTACTATCACAGTAAATGTAACACTAATGTATACTTGTATGAAACGCTAGAAATATAACCGAGTTATTCTTGTATAATTTTTTACAAGTTTTAAGATACTTTTTTTTAAGTTCAACAAATTAAAATTATGACAAAAGTTGAATTCAGTTGAAAAATTTAAATATTTATGGAGACACGGTGGATTAATGGATTAATGGATAGCGGCTCGGATTGAGGAATCGGAAAGCGAAGTTTGAATTCCAGTTTAATCCATTACATTTACTTACATGCTAATACCCTTGGGAAAGGTATGAATCCTTCTCTTCTCCCCCCCAGCTATGGATAAATAGCAGAACAGACCAGGTTCTATAGCCTTGGATGGCAACTGGTCTACCACAGAAAGAAATGGCAATCTACTATGGGAAAAATATCTGCCTTGTCAGCCATGTATCAAAAGATACATGATCGCCTAAGGGTGTATCATACACGGCATAAAACTGATGGTAAAAAACATGTCAAATATAAAAAAAAAGTTTAAAATTTACTGATTTTCCAGCATTGCTTTAATAGATTGGTCTACTCATAAAAATTAGAGAAAATATATGGTGGATAATAATTTTTGTTGATTAGTGAAAATATATGGTGGATAATAATTTTTGTTGATCTTTAGCCCAAATTGATCCCTGACTTTGAATAGTTACTAGTCATAAGCTAAGTCACTAATCTGTTATTTACAAATGTCAAATTAGAAAATTTTCTAACATCACTGATACCTGCATAATAGTTTTACATTTTAAAAAATTTTTAAACATTGTTTAGAATCTTTGTTTTTGTATGGGATTTTATCAGAAGCACATGCACAAACATTTGAGGCTCATAATTACGAATAAACGAATATATAATTTTATTAATTTATCTAAATTTTTGTTCTTCACTTAAAAATGCATATATACATTTGTCTCTTATTTAAGAAATCTTTCTGTAACTCCACCTCAAAAAGAGTGTATTAACATATGCGAAACAAAAAAGGCCAATAACTCTGTAAAAGTCAGGGATCAATTTGATATTGTATTAATATTATAAACATGACACCCTTCTAAATCAATAACAAAGCAATATTTTTTGATTCTGACAAGTGTTATGGCCTAGAGCAGTGATTCTCAACGTGGTCCATATAGCATTTTTAATGGTCCACAGAGAATACATCGCCATAAAAAATTGTAGCTATTTCACAAAAATGTATCTAAATTATTCATACATTGAAGAATTAAAAAATATAATATTTTGTTCAATTACACAAATGTCCATTATATTTGAAAATTTTGAAATTACGTCTTCAGTGCCACATTTATCTTATTTTTTCATATATATATATATATATATATATATATATATATATATATATATATATATATATATGTATGTATATATATAAATATAAAGAAAGAACAGTAAGATATATAATCCAGTGTTCTTATGTATTTTAACCTAAACACCCCACAAAAATCTTTAGGAAAAAAGTGCCGTGAGAATTTTTGCTGTTAATAAATTTTTTTTTTAAATCCAGACGACATGCATTTAATGGATGTAAGAATTCATTGAAAAATACATCCCTATCCCTCCCAAAACGTAAGTAATAACTGATACATCAAAATACAGTGATAATGAACATGCAACCACCCCTTGTCTGGATGAATGGATTTCTCTGTATCCTTGGAAACGTGAATTATGAATTTTTGCAGTGCCTTTAAAACCCAGTAATTTTAAAAATAAGTTACTCCAAAATTCACTTGAGGATAAAATGGAACTAATATCTTTAATTCAATTACAAAATTAAATTCGAAGCTTTTAGCTTCCATTTTTGGAACATGGTTAGAACTGTGTAGTGAAAAAAACATTTTAAATCAATTTATAATATACATAATATATATATATATATATATATATATATATATATATATATATATATATATATATATATTTTTATTCATATAAAAATTGTTCCTATGTTAATAGATCACTACACAATATTGTTTGATAATGAATTTGACACCATCAAAATTGATTATTATATCTTGAGTCAGAAACACCAAGATCAAGGTAGTCACTAGCTGAATGGACTAGAGACTGAATGACATCATCAAAACTGATTTTGATATCCTATGTTTATCCTTGCTTACTAAAATAAATCTGAAAGTGTAAAAAGACTACTTTGTCTTTTCCTTGAGTATTTTAGTGCAAAAATGGAACAGCCTAAAAGTAAAAGTACGAGTGGTCCATTTGAATTTTTTGAAGAAAAAATGGTCCATGGACTGAAAAAGTTTGGTTTGGTTTATGTCATATCAAGCACAATGGGTTATTTAATGCTGACAATTTTTTTTATTGCTGGTAATATTATTTTCTAAAAAAAAAAAAAAAAGAAAAAAAAAATGGCCTGGTAATATCTTTTTTTATCAAAAATGTATTGCTGGTAATATTTTTTTTTCACAAAGTATTTCTGTTATTAAAACCTATTTTTACACTTTCATAGTGTTTTGACCACAGTTTAGGGGTAACTATATGCCCATAGCTGGGACCCTAACAGGTGCTACCACCCTGGGTCCGGGTGGGCCTGGGAACACTAGCAATTAAGAGGTGGTTCCACACTCCTCAAAACCTCCTGATCTGTTGGACGTAGTTTATCAGGACACAGATGTAGTTGATTGTCATACCCAGGATGGGGTGCTGAAAAAGGTTGAGAAGCACTGGTCCAAAGGAAAGCCTAAAGAATAATAATTAGCAAAAATTATTTCCCCCCAAAATTACCTTACTTTTTATGAAGGGACCAGTCTAAGTAGTGTGGATTTTGAAATTTTTATTTTCTACACTCAAAGAACAGGATTGGTGAGCAAAATAATAAATTAGCATTCTGTTTTATGCAAAAACAAATGATAGCTGGATAATATAAATTTCAAGAAGGCCAAAGAGATAACTCAAAAATTTACAAAAATAAAGGTAAAAATATTTACTTGATAATTTATCAAATAGAATACAGATTAAAACACAAAAATTCTACAAACAACTGTATCTGTGACTTTTCGCTGTCAGATTTTTATAAAATCCACATTAGCCAGATGTTATTTATGCCTTCTTTGTCTCATCTAAATTACAGAAATTGGTAAAAGTGACTGTAATCTTCCAGCTCTTGAACAGTTGCAGATGTACAGACAACTGATATTCAACTAGTTTCTGCTGGTTGAAGAATAAATAGGAATTAGATTAGAATGGTATTAGATGTTACCAAATTAAATCTTCTGAATGAATCAGCTGGTCAAATGATTGTCTCTCAAATTGAGGTCATTGACCACAACAAAGGCAGCAGTTATCTGTTCTCAAAGAGAAGCTTTAAGTAGATATGAATTAATTGTAATGCTAGTTCTTCTACTAGGTTTGTTGTTCCACAAAACCATTTCTTTACACTTATCTGCCAATTCAGAGTTAAAATTCTTACAAAAAGGGTCAGGTGTATTATATCACCCATCAAGAGGCATTTTGAGTCTTTAAAAATCAGTTTAGCATTAAACAGACATAAAATCAGATACTACAAAAAAATTTTTAGTTTATATGTATATATTTATATGCAAATTAAGAAGTAACTGTCAGGCTAAATATAAAGAAAAATGCAAACATTTCAAATACTGGCATTTTACCTGGGATAGAACATTGACTAAGAAGCTCTCCTTGTCTCATATATTTTCTGTTTATATGTTATTTTATAGATACAAAAATTTTAAGTAAATGCTCTGTTTATAATAAACAGTATTAGCAACAGTTACTGGCTAAAATGTCCAAGACATTTTATAGAAAATACATGGCCTTCAATAGGATTTGAACCTGTTTTCTACACAAAAACATCATATAGCCTGACATGCTATACCATTTAGCTGCACAAGCTTCCATCACTATAATCAAATCATATGGGTGAGTAGTCTGGCTATTTGGTTTTTTATAACCGAGTTGCTATACCTTCATATGTTGAAGGTATATATATATATACATATATATATATATATAAAAAGAATATGATATATAATATTTTATATATCAGAACAATGTTAAGAAAATTAATGACAAAGCATAAAAATGTTTTCTGTGATGTATTTAGTCCAGTAGAGTCCTAAAAGATGAAATGTATCACAAAATTTTTTTACACTTTTTCATTATTTTTCCTATATATATATATATATATATATATATATATAAAGATCACTAAAAATTCTTGGCTTGTCAAAGAAAAGATTTTTTAAAAAAGTGATGTTTGATCAGTGTGAATTTTTCAGGACTCCCTCAAATATTTATGCATACATACATGCATACATAGATTTATATATAATTTTTATAAACATTATAAATTTGTACCTTAAATAATCATTTTCTCACTTTTTTTCTTTCTTTCACCTTTAGAAACAAATCATCAAGATTTCATTTTCTACTTTGAATGTTGTAAAATTTTAGTGATGTTTTTCTTGAAACTTAATGCAAAAGCCTCCAAATTGCAATGTTATAGACCATAAAATTTCTGCGTTAGAAGACACAGGTCACATGTTGATAGTGAAAGGTTTTATTGTTTAGGTAAACTGTCCATGTATCAACAAGACAGGAGACCAATACAGAAGAATTATAAACAATATTTTTCAAGAAAGCCTTACTGACTACCACCACAGGCAATACAAGTTGCTGGCAGAAATATATGATAACAGTCCCATAAGCTATCTTATTAAGAGAAAAAGCACATAGAATCAGCGTTGACAAGACATTATATAAAAAGCCAATTTCTATACAATTTCATCTTTATGCTACTTTTGAAACTTTTCCCTGTAGCCACTGGGGCAGGATATATCTGCCCTGTATTTGCCTCATCAGCCTTTGCAAGCCTGTATCAAAATTGGAATGTCTTCTTAGATCTTTATTCATAATCCTGAATCCAAAAATAGTTACAATATCTTTTCAAATGACAAAGTTCTGGTTATATAGATACTGAAGTATTCAACAGAAATTACTATTTTCTGTAAATATTCAAACTCAAAGAAAGAAAGTTCAAGAGAACTTACATTCCGCCTTTTCTAGTGAAAGTGTATCCATAGAGGGGTTGTGTAACAACCCCAACCCTTACACCAATTAGGGGGCTTCCATCTCGGGTCAGCACTTTTCCACTGATTACAGACACTTGGCTGAAAAAGAAAAGAAAAAAACAATGTCAAATTTTTCTTGATAAACAAAAAGTGATTATGGCCATTTATAAATTAACAACTCATATGTCTGTCATGAAACCAAGAAAACAACTGTTTATTTCTTGATATGAAGAAAATTGAAAGTAGGAAATAATGAAAAACTGCATATACAACATCCCATGAAAATGAACACGAGGGAGAATCCAGAACACCCTTGAAAATCAGATTTCAGGGATAGAAGAAAGATGTTAATATTTTTAAAATAAAACCTTGAAATTCATTTCATTTAAAAAGTTCTTATAAGTGTATTTATTTTTTTTTTACTATAATGTTTTAGGCAATCCATTTGATAGTTTTTTTATTGGTGTACAAAACTTTGGAGACATTGCAATATCAGAGTGATTTTTAATAACACAAAACTCTTCATAATCTCATTACTAATGTTAGTCTCTCATGAAAGGAGTACATGATGAAAAACTGCTATACAACATCTAAAGGAAATGGACACAAACGAGAAACCAGATCATCCTTGAAAATCAGATTTAAGGAACAGAAGAAAGATGTATTTTTGCTAATGTGCAGTGGGTTTGATCCTTATTGAATCGTCCAAACTTGTGCCAGAGTAAGCTAAGCCAGTAAGACAAATAAACAAAAATAAATTAGAAATGGTTTGGGTTTTCCTTTATACATTCAATTTCCTTCTTTTGCATTATTTTTTTTAGTTTTAATGTGATATTCTGATGAGGGACACTGTTCAGAAATATCAAAAACAGTTTTCAGAGAGATAAAAATGTTTCCGGTAATTAGAACTTACCTGGAGGGAGAAGTAATCATGCTATATCCCTCCAGAATAAGGTCCAAGTAAGAAATAACAAACATTAAAAATGAGTGAGAAAAATGAAATAAGTTATTTTGTTTTGCCAACCAACGTATGTCAAGCCATTGCAGATTTATTTACTTAGCATAAAAAGAATTATAAATCAACCACATGTATTTCAAAAATAGAGAATCACTTGTATTATAAGCATTGTTCTGAATGGATTGGTCTGATCTGTATATTTATCATTATTTCTTTTCTGTTTGCATGACTAAAAAAAAAAAATAGAGGTCTTTTCTTGCCATACAAATCATATACCTGAAGAAGGTTGTAGAATGATTAGATGAAACATTCTCAGTTCAGCCAAAAAGAGATTTTGTTTTTAAATTTAAAAAATCTAATGTTTGGTGATTTGGTTAGATTTAGGGAAATGAATTTGGCTAGATCATCAATGTTGGGTTTGTGTCCAGGTTCTTACACCATTTCACCTTTCTTGGCAGATTTTCTATTACCACAATGTGGGATTTTAATAATGAAAATGATAAAAAAGAGAAAATAGTCACTAATGCAAACAAATCTTAAATGAAAATGACTCATCTCAAAATTATAGAAAGCATTTCAGTTTTAAATATCAATTGCAAGTTTATTCTAGTAAAACTTTATAGCAAAATATATCTTCCAGTTGGAAATCATAGAATCATAAAATTATGAAGGCTTTTTACATTGTAGCAAAATTTAAGAAGTGAATGAATTTCAAATATAAAAAAAAAATAACAATCAGAGTGAAGTAGGCAAATCTGGTTTAAAAAAAAAATGAGAACTAATTAGTTGGTTTAAATCAAATCTTTCTGCTTTAGTGAACAGAGAACCAGAATTTGGCTGGTGCCAGTGTTTAGATTTGTCTGCTAATGATAGACATTCTGTCAACGACATGCAGTGAAATGATATCTGAAGTCAACTTTTTTTTCATTTTTAATAAGAAAAGGAAGAAATGAAAAAGTTTTGCATAGAGGGAGAAGGAAATGGGAAAAATAGAAAGAGGATGAGAGAAGAAAAGAATATCATGAATTATAAAAAAAAAAAAGAAGGAAAGTAAAAGACAGAAAGGAGGAAAAGAGGGAGGGAGAAAGTAAAGAATGGGAAGGAGGAAGAGAGGGATAAAGTCAAGGATGAAAAGGAGGAAGAGAGGGAGGGAGAAAGTAAAGAATGGGAAAGAGGAAGAAGAGGGATAATATAAATGACGGAAAGGAGGAAAAGAAGGAGGGAGAAAGTAAAGGACAAAAAGGAGGAAAGGAGGGAGGGAGAAAGTAAAGGATGGAAAGGAGGAAGAGAAGGATTGGGAAAGTAAAGGGCAGAAATGAAAGAAAGAGAAAAAAATGGAAAGGAAAAGAGGGAGAGAGGATGGAAAAGAGGTGGGTTTGAATCAAAGGAAAGAAAGTAGGGAGAAAGTAAAGAATGGAATTGTGCAAGATGGAAAAATGGAAAGGAGGAAGAGAGGGAGGGAAGAATAGAAAGTGGAAAAGGTAGGAAAGAAAGGAGGGAGAAAGAGAGAGGGAGGGAAGAAGGGAGTGAACACAGAAAATAAAGAAAGGCAGGTGGGAGGGAGAAAGTAAAGAATGGAGAAGAAGAGAGCAAAGAATAGAAAGGAAGGAAAGGAGGGAGGGAAGAATGGAAAGTTGGGAGGGAACAAAGGAAGAAAAGAAAGGAAAGAAGTGGGAACAAAGGGAGGCAGGGAAAGAAAAGGAGGAGGGAGGGAGGGAATGAAAGGAGGGAGAGAGGAAGAAAATAAATAATGGAAAGTAGAAAGAGGGGAAGGGAGAAAGTAAAGACTGGAAAGAAAGGTGAGAGCAAAGAATGAAAAGGAAAAAATGGAGTGGGAGAAGAGGAAAGAAAGGAAGTGAGGGAGATGGGGAGGGAACACAGAAAAGAAAGAAGTAGGAGGGAGAAAGTAAAGAATGGAAAGTAGAGAGAGAGGGAGGAAAGAATGTAACGGACGGAGAAAATAAAGAATGGGAAGGAGGGTGACAGAAAAGAATGGAAAGAAAAGATAGGGAGGGCGAAAGAGAAGCAAAGAATGAAAGAAAGTGGGGAGAGAGAAAGTAAAGAATAGGAAGGAAGAAATCAAACAATAAAAGTCTAAAATTTAAATTTTTAAAAATTGTATATTTTTCAACTCAATTTGGAATTTTAATTCTTAAAAAAATTTATTTTAATTCTTAAAAAAAATAGCCAACAAATAAGTAAGTCTTACCTTTCATTAAACGCATGACGTGTTGCATATGTCTGCACACTGTTGTTCTCAATAAGGAACTTCATTTTCTCAAAGAACGATGCTGTGGTGCTGGTCGATTGTTTTCTTAAGAGAATGTCTAAGGGGTCTGGAGATGTTTTACAAGTTGAGTCGCTCTTGCAAACTTTGTTTTCACAGCAGTCAGGATCCTGACAGTCCCAGAGGCCATCTGCAAAAGGAGAAAAGAAAACAAAATAAATAACACTGAAATTTAAACCCTTGAATATACAAATGGGGCATCGACACCAACTGGCTTGCATCACTTTAAAGATTATTGGATGCTGTGTCTATATTTCTTCTTTACAAAGATGGTTGTACAGTATTTGTGCACCTCATAGGGGTGGAGCACCTACACTCAGATACTATTACATATTTTATGTACTGTGTCTCTTCAGGATATGAGCCATCATGGCTCTCCACAACTTCCTACTCTTTATAACTTTTATCAATGTTTGTCTTTTTAATATCCTTCCATCAAGTTCTAGGTGGGTTATTTGATGCTTGCCTCTGTTCCTCTTGCTATCAATATGTCTTGTGAGTGTCAAATTTTCTAAGCCCTCTGTCCTCATTAAAATTTAAACTGTCCCTTTTTAGTTCTAAGTATTATTTTTTTGTTTTATTCTCTTTGAAACTTTGTTCTGACTAACATATTCAGCTGATGGAGTTCTTAGCATCCTTCTTCAAAATTAAATTTGTCTCCTGGCAAGTCTCCTCTCCATCTGTGAAGAAATATATATAACCAATTTGTGACTGGTAGGGATAATTCCAGAGAAGATATTAATCTAAAGAGAGCTCAATGAGAACTATTATAGAGCATTATAATAATAGTAAATTGAGAAGAAAACCTTAAAAGATACATTTCGTTTATATATATATATATATATAAATTCAGGAATTATTCACACAAAAACAAATGCAAAGGTTAATGATTTAATTGGCGAGAAATCCATCATCGCAAACAATTCAAATAATATACAAAAACCTCCGAATCCGTTATGAATGAAAAGATCCTTGTTTCTATAAATTCCTGCCGCATTAGTTCTTATTTTTACTACAAGCTTTCGTCTGTTCCTACAGACATCTTCAGGTATAGAATAGATGTTGTTCTTGTTTTTTCTCTTAGTAATAAGAGGACAATGAAAATATATGTATTGTTGTATCCGAAAATGCTATTGGAAATGAGTTATTGTTTTTGGAGCGTGCAATAGCAACGCTGAGTTTGATTTTAAATTTTTTACAGTTGTGCGTTCATGTACAAATATGGTGATAAACGAATTTTTTACTGGTAAATTTTCTGTCAAAGTGGCATGAACTATATTGTTCAATAATTACAGTAATGTCGCACTTATTATCCAAAAGTCGCACTTGGATCAGTTATTTTAATTTCGATAAATGTGCAATCAATTTACAAATTCATGAATTATTCACACAAAAACAAATGCAAAGGTTAATGATTTAATTGGCGAGAAATCCATCATCGCAAACAATTCAAATAATATACAAAAATATATATAAAATGTATATTTGGACAGCAACCTTTCTTTTAAACATGTTTCACTGAATATGACAGACAAGGAAAATTTAATTCATTTTTTATTTAGTTTTTCCAGTGTTCTTCCATTTTACATAAGAGAGTGCAAAAATTGTCCATTGTCCTAAGCTCTTTCAGCCACTTTTTGACTATTTTCAAGGGGGTTGGTTTTAGGGTGTTGCTAATTTCTCTCCATGTTTGATTATTTAATATGCGTTTTTGTGTTGTTTTGAATACGACTGGCAGCATTTATTCCTAGTTTTTCATATTATGTGTGATTGACGTTCAAGTGGATGCCTTTGTATTGTTTTTTTAAAAAAAATTTCAACATTCCATTACCACTGCTGAATAAGTTGAAGTTGATAGTTGGAGCAAGATGTTTTATATACAAGCCCTCTCTCATAGTGACATGTCTCCAGTAATTTGATTTATGTAGAGTTTTGGCATTTTCAATCTGTATTTTTATTAAGGGATCTTGTAAATCATGAGTGGCCTTTTTTATTGCAATTTGATCAGATAAGTGACAAATATATATATATATATATATATATATATATCAATATATTTGAAAATGTCTCATATCGAGAATATTTAACATTGAACATGAGGAAAAATTAATTATCTTTAATTATTTTTAATAATATGTGGAAATCTCCACTTTTACCTGAAGATGGTCGCGAGACCAGAAACACGTGTTGTAAAATTATGTAAAACAAAGCATAATATTTTTTCTAAATCAATCCACATTACAACCAAAAACGTTTGCAGCACCTCTCTTCTCTTCTGTGTGTGTATTTATATATATATATATATATATATATATATATATATATATATATATATATATATATAAAGGAGATGCTGAAAAGTTTTCAGTTCAGCTAAAAGGGATTTTGTTTTTAAATTTTTAAAAAATCTGGTGATTTGGTTAGATTTAGGGAAATATATTTGGCTAGATCATTTATGTTGGGTTTGTGTCCAGGTTCTTACAACATTTCACCTTTCTTGGCAGATTTTCTATTGCCACAATGTGGGATTCTTAATAAGGAATGTGATAAAAACAAACAAAAAGAAACTAAATTAAACACATATTAAAAAAAAATTCATTTAAAAGTTTAAAATTTCAGCTTCCCCTTCATTTGCAAACATCACTGCATCAACATAAACATCATTTAAAGAATGGATAGAGGCATTAGTCAAAAGATGGTAACGATAATAATAGCTGCTTCCTCATAAGGAAATATTCAACGTTCATTAACCAAGAAGCCAGTATTACTTTGAGCTAATATATATATATAATCTTCCTATTAAACAATTTTTCAGGAAAATAGGTTTCTCAAGTCTAGTAGCTGTTATTGCTATTTTCAATGTTGACAGGGGGTTTCCTTCCTAACCTTTTGTTTGAAATAGTGTGGAATGTCAACATCTTGATTATGTCATTATTTTCTCTTTGAGTTTTCAAGGTGCATCCATATTCTGTTGTATCATCTACATAGATATTCACTAACAATCGGAGTATGGTTTTAGACAGATCATTAGTTCAAAGCAAATTGAGAGTAGCACCTAGAAGTGAGCCTTGGTGGATGCCTCAGGTATAAATGAGTTGCAGTATAATAGTTGCAGTATAATAAGAATTTTATGTATATTAAATTGTCTATCAGTAGATAGAGATCTACTTCCAATCATTTCAATTCATGTGCCCTCATAATCTGAAATGTTAATATTGGGTTAATTCAAAATACTTTTCTTTTGAAAGTGAACAAAAGGCAGGAACAATTTTAAATTTATTGGTCACTTTCTTGTGCTAAGCATAAAGAAATATAGTGCCAAGACCATAAGCCATATATAAACAGTGTTCAAGACATAAAACATACAAAGAAATATAGTGATCAAGCAATAAATCATATAAAAATATGGTAGCCAAGATATAAACCATGTAATGAATTATTGATAAGAAATTAACAATATAATTAAATATAGATAAGAAATAAGTTATATAAAAAATATGGTTGTCAAGTTATAAACTATATAAACAAATATGGTGACTAAACCGTAAATCATATAAATATAAGGAAGCCTAGCAATAAATCATATGAAATATGGAGAATAAATGAACAATATAAAGAAATATGATAGCCAAACCATAAGCCATAAAAAGAAATATGGTGGTCAAGCTATAAACCATATAAAGAAATATGGTGGTCAAGCTATAAACCATATAAAGAAATATGGTGGTCAAGCTACAAAACCATATAAAGAAATATGGTGGTCAAGCTATAAACCATATAAAGAAATATGGTGATCAAGCTATAAACCATATAAAGAAATATGGTGGTCAAGCTATAAACCATATAAGGAAATATGGTGGTCAAGCTATAAACCATATAAGGAAATATGGTGGTCAAGCTATAAACCATATAAGGAAATATGGTACCCAGCAATAAACCATATAAGGAAATATGGTACCCAGCAATAAACCATATAAAGAAATATGGTACCCAGCAATAAACCATAGAATAAAATATGCTCTACCAACCATAAACTTACCATTATCGTTATCTTGATGATCATCGCAGATAGTCTCTATAGCAATGGTACATTCATGGCCTTTCCATCCTTTGTTGCAGCTGCACTTCCAGCCATCAAGATATTTCTGGCAATTACCATTTCCACTGCAATCATCAGGACAGCCATCTGCAAGAGAAAAATTACAAAACATGATTTTTCTTTTACCAATCAATCAGATATAAAAGAAGCAATATTTTTTATTTTCCTTCAAGCAATTCACCCCAAGCAAGGTGAGAGTGCCACTAGCACACAAGGGGTTACAGAAGATTGAGAACAAGAGTGAAGAGGGGTGTTTGTGGAAAGGATACAGAGAAGGGTGGGGAACAAGCTCAGAGTGTCAGATGTCGATTGACATTATATTTGAATATTTGAAGATTATAGTCATTGGGGAAGTCAGGGATTTGAAGATTATAGTCACTGGGAAATCAGGGATGTGTATTATGCACAGCTACAAAAAAAATCTTTAAAAAAAAATTGCTGTTTCATAGATTGATTTCAGTTGTAAAATGACTACTCACCACAAACATATGACAATTTGACACTGAGATTCAGTGATTGCGATCCCATACGGATGTCAAATACAATCATATGCACCTAACAATACTTACAAATATAAAATAAAATAAGAATTATCATAAAACTAATTTAGAATAATATTATTCTATGTTTTAATAAGAATAGGAAATACTGGCTGTAATGAAATTGGAGCGGTACAATTTATAGGGTTTGATTACCAAAAAGGGGTGTGTATTATTCAGGAGTAAAAGCATTTTCCCACACTTTCAGCACAAATTTTGGGGATATGTATTATGGATGAAGGCATATTATACATGGGGAATTATGGTATACATTTCCGTATTGTAGGCTTCATCAAATCCAAAAACAAAAAAAGAAATTTAAGAACTTGAGTATTTAATTCTGTTTGTTTTTTCAGAACTTTTTAGGGTTAAACAACTTCATTAATTTGAGAAAACAACAACAACAAAACAATAAAGAAAGTTGTTTACATTAACAATTTTTTAATTTCCAGAAACTTATTATATATAAAAAAGAAACTTTATTTGTCATTAATCATGCATGGAAATATTAAACAGATTTTAGAATTACATTCTTGTGTTTTAAATTACATTAATTTGCTATATTTCCCAGCATTGAGGAGGCTTGAGTCTCAAGGGTACACACAAATTTTGACTTGCAATTTTTTGGCAAGGGAGGGGGATTAATAAACATTAAATTAAAGTAACCTCCAGCCAGTAATAAGGAAGGTATTTCAAAATTTATTTTGTGAAAGAAAATATCGACTTTGATGCTGAGAAATGTGATAAAGTCTTACATATTTAAAATGTCTACCACTTGTCTATGTTTTGAATATTGCTGCCACATATGGTCTGTTGCTCCTGCTATATATTTAAAGATTCTTGATAAAATCCAAAAAAAATAATTTTGACCTGGTGTCTTGGCTTCCATCCCACCAATGAAAATTTGCTTCCCTGTGCTTTTCTATAAATATTTTTATGCTAATTGTCTTGATGAATTGTTCTAAACTCTACAGTATCTAGACTTTATGAATTTAAGCAAAATACTTGATTGGAGGCATGGTGGAGTAATGAGTAGTGGCTCAGATTGAGGAATCAGAGAGCCAAGTCCGAATTCCAGTTGAATCCATTACATTCATTTACATGCTAATACCCTTGGGAAAGGTAAGAATCCTCATCTTCTCCCCCCAGCTATGGGTAAATAACAAGACAGACTGGGTTCTATAGCCTTAGATGGCAACTGGTCTACTGCAGAAAGAAATGACAACCTACTGCAGGTAAAAAAATCTGCCTTGTCAGTCATGTATCTAAAGATACATGATTGCCTAAGCATGTATCATGCATGGCACATAACTGACTTGATTGGAAACAAGGTCTCAATATTTTACAATTTCTATGTTACAAGTTCTATGCTAACAGTTTTATTTCTTACACTTCTCAATTGTGGAATTCACTTCCATCTTGGCTTCTTGCATTCCAGCCAAATTTAATCTTCAAAAGTTTAAATGCATTGTCAATTGTTATCTTCATTCTTCTTGATTCCTCTTCTTTTAGTGTTCTCGCTCCATAGTAATGTTTTTTTTTTCTTATCCTTTCACAATCCTTGTGTCTTTGTGGCTTAATTACCTTGCTTGGGGCGAAATGATACAAAAATATCAATTACTTCTATCAAGAACAAAAACAAAACAATAAGTAATAAATTTATTTACCTAGGGTGCAATGTTTTCCATTCCAACCAGTCTTGCATATACAGGTTCCATTGTTGCAAAATCCATGACCATCGCAGCGTGGATCACAAGCCAACATATCGCACAAGGCGCCACTCCAGCCATTATGACAAACACACTGCTGGTTCTCACAGTAACCATGGAAACAATCCAAGAGGCACACTTCTATTAAAAATAAAGAGAATCAAAATGCATGAAAAATAATGTTTAGTTAAAAAAAAAATTAATAGGAAGCAATCAAAGAAGGACTTTGAAAAGAGTAAAACAGATTTGAAATCTATTGAGATCAGGGAACCCTGATCTGATTATGGACATTGAATTTCTTCTACTTTATATTTCTAAAAAAATTATTACTAGTAGTACCCATGGAAATTTCATTGCTTTCCTGTTTGAATTTTGTTTTTTCTTTCTTTTTCTCACTGAAATCAAACAAAATGTCTTTTCCGTCTTGTCACACAGTCAAAATGGAATAGTCCATTATTTGTGAGGTACTGGCAGAATGTAACATAATGTACCGCACTAAGAAACTAATGGAGGAACAAGTAGACTTATAATAAGATTCTTGTAATTCTTAGAATTTTTGAGTAAAACACCTATCGCTTCACATACATGATTTCAGAACAGGGTTAAATGAACTATTATGTAGTTACAGTATCACATATGTTAGAATACACAGTAACAATACAGCAAGACACTTCACATTCACTTCAGGGCACATAACAAGAGGGCTTGGAGAATTTGACACTCACAAGGCATACTGAAGGCAAGAGAAGCACAGGAAAGCAGGGAATAACATACCTAACAAACTTGTGTAAATAAATGGCAGAACAGGGATTGGAAGGATAGTAAAAGGATAAAACTTACTAAGAGCTAAAAATAGGAAGTTGTGGAGAGCTATAATTGGCAACCTTCTGAAGGGACATGGCACAGAGATTGGTCATCTTTTTCCTCTCTCATACCCTTTCATCATATTTGACTGTGTATTTGGCATACCCTTTTGAGAAGTATGGTATAAAATGTATGTATACCACACAATAGTTTTATTTGCATTATTTGCAGTCAGACTAATATTCATATCTTTCTTAGTGCTGTCAAAGTAAGGGGATGAGGAGATTAGTCAGACTAAACAAATCTAATAACTCCACATTCCATCAATTCAAATAGAAATAAGTACTATTTACTTGATTTTATTTACTTTAATGTTGTAACGTTATTAAAGAGATAGATCTTTTCAACAAGTTCTTCAAATTGTTTCAGAGAGACAAACATATTTTTTGACTGACAATTTGGTTTTGATCACACACATTGCTGGAAAACCTTGTTTACAACAGCAACACACAGGATTCAACACATAGGATTTCTGCATGGAATACTAAAGCAAGAAAGATTTCAAGTAGATCTTTGTTCTTTGAATCCTTCAGAAATTTAACAAATTCATCTTTGCAAATTGTCTGCAAGACATTTGGGGTTGATTCTAAAGAGATTCCAAGCTAATTGGTAAGCAAAAGGATAATCTGGAAAGTAAATTGTTCCTTTCTATTAGGAAAATGGACACAAGAAGTGAAGTATCAAGGGCACGAGAAACTTGATTTCATAACTCCTAAATTTCTCTTGGAGTATATGTATGAAACTTTCTGCTGTCTTTGAAAACTCATTCTTTGACAGACCTACAAACAAATAGAAATTTGTTTTTTAATAATTTTTTATGTCAATTTGTATTTTCAGTTCTGAAGATGAAAGGTCATGTGTTAAACACTTTCAACTATTTGGTCCAGTTGCCAATCATCTTGACCCCTAGCGTACCATGATAATTGATATTTTGCTGTTGGCCTGGAGATACTTGATTCTGGTAGAATGTGACCCAGCATGACGTGTGGGATGATACAAAGTGAGAAGATGTGCAGTGTCAAGTAACTCTTTTTAAACTGTCTTAGAACCCAGACAGCCAAATGTTGATGCCTGAAGTAATACTAACAGATTGAAAATACTTATTTTCTTTCAACATTTATTTTAACTCTTTATTAGTATTATCTTTTGTGTGGAGAACATAACATTCATTCTCTTGACCAGTAAATAAGTAATGGCACACTTCACAAGACCATAGTATTTAAAAATTGAATCAAGGTTTATCTGCCCGACTGCTTTTAGTCAACCCATTATGCATGTGTCTTCCCAAGAATATCAAACTAACTGTAAATATTGTGTAATTCTTTGTTTCAATACATTTTGTTAACGTAATTTTGTGTTGTATTATTCCATGCTTATTTAAGAACAATTATCTTTTGTGTGGAGAACATAACATTCATTCTCTTGATCAGTAAATAAGTAATGAGAGGTATTGTCATTTAAATAGAAGTGAATTTATCTAAAAAATATGCATTTGTTGTGTAAAAGTATCAATTTTTTCATAATCTGATATAGTTTATAATAGCTGAATTCTGATCTGATAATCTTGCTGCATAATGTTCCATTGATATAATTAATAGAGAGGTATTGTGTTATAGAAGTGAATAATTTAAAAAATACATATTTGTTGTGTAAAAAGTGTTTTTTCTATATATATTTAAAAATTCAGCTATTTAATGTATACATTTTTAATAATATATGTATGAGTATTAGGGTTATATATATATATATTTATATATTTATATATATAAACTCATTTTTTTACTTTTTTATATGCATAAGTATGGGCATATAATATATTTATTTTTTATTAAACTCATTTTTTACTAATTTATTTATAATATATATATATATACACACACATATATATATACACACACACACACACACATATATATATATATATATATATACACACACACACATATATATATATATACACACACACACACAATTATATATATATATATATATACACACACACACACACACAAAGGCATTAAGAAAACTGACAAGTTAATATATTTTTGACTTATTCTACTTACAAGCCTGCTGTTGGTAGGTGAAGAGATAAAATTACTAACATTAAATACCAACTGACTATCAGACAGAAGTCTTTAGTGTTACAGTTGCACTTTTTATTTTACCTTGCTTTGTATATTTCTATTTTATTAATTTTGGCCTCTTGTTTTTAGAATGTGTAAATGTGAAAGGAAATGGATATGTCAGGTAGGAAAATAAAGAGGCAATAAAAATACTTGCTTAGTACGGTAAAGAATTGTTTGATGCTCTGAGATTGGCTAAATAGAATTCCCATATTCAATGGCATTTGGCTTGTCTCTCCCTCCGACCTACACATCAGCAGATCTGCATTTCTCTTTAGAGAGAGATGTCATTGGGTATCATCTCCACCCTCTGGGATTAAATGTGAAATATCATTCCCATCTTTACTGCAATGTCCTTACATCCACCTTCCACACACATTATTATAGAGTGCACGTGCACATACATATCACAAATAGAATATGCATTTATATCACAAATAGAATATGCATTTATATATAGACATTACAGAAGCAACAATTAAGAATTAACATTGAAACAATATTTTGTGTGAAAACATCATTTCTTGCATTTTTTGTTTAGTCATTATTCGAGGCATGTTTCTTTTAAATTTTTCTTTTATCTTTCCAGTCTTATTTGATTTGTCTCACTTTGTTCTGATCTATTTAATTCTATCAATGTCGGTCTGTCTTGCCTATCAAACTATTCTAATTTGTTCTCATCTATCAACACAAATATCTATGCCATTCTTGGTGGTTGAAATAGTCCACATAGTTGATGGTTGAGCCCAGTTTCAAATAAAAATATCAAATGATTTTCAAAGCAAGTTAAACCCTCTCCATGAGAATAGTAAAACTAATAAAATACATTTGTCTCTTAACAATTCATACATTTATGCACCTGCAAAATCTGTAATACCAATATAGCATATTTATAAATATTTATGTCTAGAGCTGTTGATTTATATAAAGAAGGTTGTTTGAAAAGTTATTATATTATTAAGACCAGAGGCAATTTTATTTAAGTTCTCTTTAGAAAAATTTACTGTATATACTTAAGGATAGGTCAGACTGTTTTTCACTAAAATTTTGATAAAAATCAAGGGTGTGACCTATCCACTTGATATCATAGAGAATTTGAAGTAGACTGTGAGTACCCTGGACTTAAGCAGAAACAAGACCAAGGGAGAAAATGAATTTTTCCCAATATTTTGATTTTATGCAATCACCACTTCCAATAGTACGTCACACATCACACATTGAATAAAAGTGCTTCATCAGCACTACTCATATTTACCATTATTTGTTGTAGCCTACCTATGGATGATAATGGTACATCCCCATTCACATAAATACAGTAGTAAATACTGTATGTTGGTCTGCAGTTGGGGATTTGTCTCCAGCTGTACTGGTCAAACTCTCTGCCTCTGGGCAGAGAAGATCCCCAGACAAAGCTATGCCGAAGGGCAGAGTCTCATCTTGGGAAACAGCTACCCAACCCTGTTTTATATGGGGTCTACGAGGAATTTTTGGCTAAGCCTACAGGCTCGGATACCCCACATTAAATTCGGCCTTGTGCCACATCTGACCACATGGCATGGTTGGTAGATATCCTTGAGTTGAAGATTCATTGTGGAATTCACTTGATTCATTTCTGCTGCTGAATCTTATATATGTTGTTCGGTTCCTAAGTATTATCGTTCATTACCAACCTTTGTTTGATTATTCTATACAGTAACCTTCCCTAGGCTACAGCATTATTTATGATGAAAGACTATCATTTTCAAGTGATTTTAGGACTAAAGTGATTACTGGTATCAACATTTTTGCACCTTGCACTCAATAAGTAATTGCAACCAATATCTTGTGTTTTAGTATAAGTAAGCAAAATTTTGAAATAAAGGTGAATATTTGAAAATATTTAACAAATATTAGTTATATTTACATTAAAAAAGGGCCATGTAACTCCCTAGATTATAGTGTTACCTATCTGCAAGTCAAGTGCAAATACCCACATTGACAACCCCAAACTAAGTGTGCGACTTATCTACTGGTGCAACCTATATGCAAGTATATACTGTACTTAAAAAGTGTCAGTCACTAATCTCATTAAATGATGCCAAAAAAGAAAACAGCCATACAATTAAGAAGTTAAGACACAAACAAGTTCAATAACACTTGCCCGAAGATGGTCAG